TCATCCACTCTGCAATTGATAGGCATTTTGGTTATTTCCAAGATTTAGCTATCACAAATTGTGCTGCTATGAACATAGGTGCACATATATCTTTGTGAAATGACCTTTTCAATTTTTCTGGGAAAATACCCAGGAGGGGAATAGCTGGATTGAAATGGAATTTCCAATCCTAGTTTTTTGAGGAATCTCCATACTGATTTCCACAGTGGCTGCACCAGTCTGCACTCCCACCAACAGAGGAGAAGTGTTCCTCTTTCCCCACAGCTTTGCCAACATTTGGTATCATTTGTTTCTTGATGGCAGCCATTCTTTCCAGGGTGAGATGAAATCTCAATGCTGTTTTAATTTGCATGTCTCAAATGGCCAGTGATGGTGAACATTTCTTCATGTAGTTATTTGAAATTTGTATATCTTCATCTGAGAATTGTATGTTCATCTCCAATGCCCATTTTTGGAGAGGGTCTTTGAATTTGGGAAGTTTGATGTTTTTCAGTTCTTTATATGTTCTGGATATAAGTTCTTTGTCTGAGGGATTGTTGGCTAAAATTGTTTCCCATTCTGTGGGTTTTCTTTTCACTTTGTTGATGATTTCTTTTGAAGTACAGAAATTTTTTAGCAATATTAGAGCCCAGTTATTGATTCTTTGAAGTATTTTCTGTGTGGTTTGCATTTTACTCATGAATTCTCTGCCTACCCCTGTGTCTACCTTGTCCTCTAGTAGATTTAGTGTTTCTATTTTAATGTTTAGATACTTGGTCCATTTTGACTTTAGTTTAGTATATGGTGATAGGCATGGGTCTATTTTCAGTTGTTGGCATGTGGAAGGCCAATTTTTCCAACACCATTTATTAAAGAGGCTATCTTCTTTCCAGTGAACATGTTTAGCTCCTTTGTCAAATACAAGGTGGCTGAGTGTCTTTGTAGTAGTGTTTGTATCTTCTAATCTGTTCCATTGATCCTCAGGTCTATTTCTTTGCCAGTACCATGCTGATTTTATTGCTGTGGCTTTGTAGTATGGTTTCAAGTTATGAATTGAGAAGCCTCCTGCCTTGCCTTTGTTGCTCATAATCACTTTTGCTATTCTAGGTTTCTTCTGTTTCTAAATGAATTTTAGGAATACTTTCTCTAGATCTGTAAGGTATGTTAATGGTATTTTGATTGGGATTGTATTGAATCTGTATAACAGTTTGGGGAGTATGGCCATTTTCACAATGTTGGTTCTTCCTAGCCAAGAGCAAGGAATATCCTTCCATTTTCTAATATCCTCTTCAATCTCCTTTTGTAGAGTAGCATAATTTTCAGGATATAGATCTTTTACATTGTTGGTTAGGTTGATTCCTAAGTATCTGATTTTTTAGATGCTATTTTGAAAGGTGATATTTCCATAATTTCTCTCTCAGTGAGTTTTTGTTTGTGTACAGGAATGCTATTGATTTTTGAGTGTTGACTTTGTATCCTCTATGCTGCTGAATTTGTTTACTACCTCTAGTAGTCTTTTAATGGAGTTTTTGGGGTCTTCTATGTAGAGTATCATGTCATCTGCAAATAATGATAATTTAACCTCTTTTCCTATTTTTATTCCTTTTATTTCTCCCTCTTGTCTGATTGCTCTGGCTAATATTTGTAGAACTATATTGAATAGGAGTGGTGATAGTGGACATCCTTGTCTTGTTCTTGATTTTACAGTGAAGGCTTTCAGTTTTTCTCCATATAGTATAATGTTGGCTGTTGGTTTGTCATAGATGGTCTTTATGAGATTGAAGTACATACCATCTATTCTGAGTTTCTGTAGGGTTTTTATCATGAACAGATGCTGGACTTTATCTAAAGCTTTTTCTGCATCTATTGAGATGATCACGTTATTTTTATTTTTGGCTCTGTTGATGTGATGTATTATGCTTATTGATTTGCATATGTTGAACCATCCCTGCATTCCTGTAATAAATCCCACTTGGTCGTGGTGTATTCTTGATGATTTGCTACATTCTATTTGCCAGTACTTTATTGAGAATCTTTGGATCAATGTTCACCAGTGAGATTGGTCTATAGTTCTCCTTTTTGGTTGGGTCTTTCTCTGGTTTTGGTATCAGAGTGATACTTGCCTCGAAGAATGATTTAGGGAGGACTGCTTCTCTTTCAATTTCAATGAAGAGTTTGAGGAGTATTGGCATTAAATCTTCTCTAAATTTCTTATAGAATTCAGCCATGAATCCATCAGGACCTGGGTTTTTCTTTGTTGGTAAGTTTTTAATCATGTTTTTGATTTTAGTAACTGATATTGGGTTATTCAAAATTGTTACATCTTCTTGATTGAGATTTGGTAGTTCATATGTTTCTAGAAATCTGTCTATTTCCATTTTCCACCCTATATGAATAAAGATTTTCAAAGTAGGTGTTCATGGTGTTTTGAATTTCCATGGGATCTGTAGTAATTTCCCTCTTTTAAGTCCTTATTGCATGGATTTGAGTTTTTGATTACTCTTTCTTGATAAGGTTGGCTAGAGGTTTATCAACTCTGTTTATTCTCTTAAAAAAAACAGCTCTTTGATTCATTAGTTCTTTGTATTGTTTTTTTTGTTTGTTTGTTTCAGTTGCATTAATTCTGCTCCAATCTTTACAGTTTCCTCTCTTCTGTGAGCTTTGGGTTTGACTTGCTCTGCCTTTTCTAGAAGCTTGAGATGTAGCATTAGGTTATTTATGTGTGCTTGTTCCATTTTCTTTGTGTGACTGTTTATTGCTATAGATTTCCCTCTTGTGACTGCTTTCATTGCATCCCATAGGCTACAGTATGTTGTATCTGCATTTTCATTGTATTGCAGGTATTATTTTATTTCCTCTTTGATTTCATCGGTAACCCACTGGTTGTTCAGAAGGTTATTTAATTTCCATGTATTTATGCATATTTTGAAGTTTTTTTGCCATCGATTTCCAATTTTAGTGTACTATGGTCAGATATTATGCATGGGATAATTTCACTCCCTTTGTATTTACTTAAGAATGTTTTATGAGTTAAAATATGGTCTATTTTGGAGAATGTCCCATGTGCAGCTGAGAAAAATATATGTTCTGGTGTGGTTGGGGGGAACACTCTGTAAACATCCACTAAATCCATTGGTTCACAGGTATGATTCAGTTCTGTTATTTCTTTGCTGACTTTTTGTTTAGTTGATCTATCTCTTTGTGACAGTGGGGTGTTAAGATCTCCGATTACAATTTCGTTCTTGTGTATTTGGTTTTTCATATCCATTAGTGTTTGTCTTATACAGTTGGGTGCTCCTGTATTTGGTGCATACATATTTATAATTGTTAGTTCTTCCTCTTGTAGTTTTTCACTTACAAGTATGTAGTGAACTTCTTTATCTCTTTTAATCATTTTAGGTTTGAAGTTCTCATTGTCTGCAAATAGAATAGCTACTCCTGCTTTTTTCTGGGTTCCTGTTGCAGGGAATACTGATTTCCATCCTTTTGACTTTTAGTCTATGAGTTTCTTTTTGAGTCAGTTGTGTTTCTTGTGTAAAGCATATTGTGGGGTCCGGTTTCTTGATCCATTCTGTCAACCTGTTTCTTTTGACAGGTGAAATGAACCCATTTACATTTATGGATATTACTGATATGTACTGGCTTGACTTTGTAATATTGTGTTCCTGTTTTTGGTTTTCCACTTTCCTCTCTTGTTTAATTTCTTGTCCAGCCTGGTGGTTTCTTTCTGTTGTTGTTGTAGAGATTGTGGTTATTTTCATCTCTTTCTAGCATGTCTTTGAATATTCTGTCTAGGGTTGGTTTGATAGATATGAATTTCTTCAGTTGTTATTTGTCATGGAATATCTTGTTTCTCCATTAAATTTCAAAGACAGTTTTGCTGGGTACATCAGACAGGGTTGAAAGTTGTTTTCTTTTAGGGCTTGAAATACTTTACTCCAAGCTCATCTTAACCTGAAGGTTTGTGCTGAGAAGTCTGCCACGATTCTAACAGGCTTTCCTTGATAGGTAAGTTGTGTCTTTTCTCTAACAGCTTTTAGTATTCTGTTTTTATGCTGTATGTCTGGGATCTTAATTATTACATATCTGAGTGTAGATTTATGTTGGTTATGATTGTTTGGTGTTCTATATGCCTCACTTATACATCAGATATTTTCTCCATGTTTGGGAAAATTTCTGCTATTACTTCTGTGAATAGCTTAGTTAAGTCCTTTGCATTGTCTCCTGCATCCTCACTCATGCCTATTAGTCTTACATTGTTTCTCTTGAGATCATTTTGAAGCTGCTGGATTGTCATTTCATGCTGCTTTGTTGTTTTTATAAGTCCTATCCTTTAATGGTTGCTATCTGCAATCTTATCCTCAAGGTCTCAAATTCTATCCTCAGGTTCATTTAAGTGGTTTTGCCAGCTTTCAGTAGAATTTTTTGTTTCTTGGATGTCTCTTTGAATTTTTTTTATGGATTCTGCTTACAGCAACAGACAATGGAAATAAACTTAAAACATAAGTCTCCTAAAACAAGAAGACTTAATTATGTTGTTCATAACTTCATACTTTGCATAGGGATTTATAAGAGATAACTCTTCTCTGATCAGGGTGTTTGGGAGGGCATGTTCGGAAGATCCAAATGGCTGAGGCTAGAATTCTCTGGAGGTTTCTTACCTACATAATCTGACACACAGGCAAGATGAACCATGGTCTTACCTCAGCTAGGAGTGCTGAGGGAGGAGGATGCCAAGCTCAAGCTTAGCCCAGGAACTTAGTGGCTCAGTAATACCCTGTCTCTAAATTTTAGAAAATATGTAAACGGATAACTCAGTGCAAAGCTACTGAGTTCAGCCCCCAGTACAGGATTGGGGGGGGGTGAAGAATAAAACAAAACTTTTAACAATGAGGATGCTTTTTTAGTTTCTTGTGTAGTACATGTCTGAATCTCCTACAACAAAATGCATTACCTTAGTAAAAACACTGTATGGACTGTAACAGCAAAACACAAGAAATTCACCCATAAGAGATCAAGGGTTGAGAAGCAAGTAAGTTTTATTTCAGGACCTGCAGTGGTCAGCAGCAAATTCAGGTTGTTGAGGCTGCTGACCCTGATCCTTTGTTCTGCTTCCCTTTAAATACACATTGGAGAGTTCACAAGATCAGTGGATTGTCAGGGGCACCGTATTTTACAACATTATTTCTTTGGAATGTCATAAAATCTTTTTTATATCTGGTTAGTTGACACACAAGATATAGGTGAAACTAGGCAAGTTGATCATTTCAAGTCAAAACTGTTTGTTCCTCTCTTTTCCTTTGTAAGGTTTTATAATTAACTAACTAAGGAGAGGGCTTTCTTTGGAGAAGTAGGGCTAAGTTTGCTTGCTGTTAATGCCTAACTGCAACCTAAACTATAAAACTACAGGCTATGAAGTTTTTAGCGCAGAATGGAGCTGTGGGGCAAAATGAAGTTGCAATTATCCTCCCTAGGACACATAAAGCATATTCAATAAAGTGATTTAAAATCTTCATTAATGCCAATGACTTGAAATTTAAAGTTATTTAGGAGACCATTTATTCCCATGCAGTTACTGAATACTTCAATCTCCCATGTCAACCACAGTTGCACCAAGAAAAACAGACTATAATTTTGAGGCAACTCTCTTCTGGGTATCGCCTAAGTGTTTGGAGAAAAAGAATAGGATTTGCTTCCACGCATCTACCTGGGCCTTAGAATGAGCCCTGAACTCCCCACCCCAAATCACAGTTTTGTTCAGTAATTTGTGCAGGGAAGCTGGGCACATAGGAAAGTAAGGAGGCTCAATGTAATGCCCAGTCCCAGGGTAAGAGAAGACCTGGGGCTTTTCCCTTCCATAGGCCTGTAATCGTTCAGAGGCTGTTTGGGCATACAAGTCACTCCTCCAGTTATGGTCATCCTGCCCAACAATGAAGAGTATGGGCCCCTCAGCCCTCTCTATTGGTATAATACTGGGATTCTTATGCCCTCCTATAATATCATTTCGTATGTCCACAATGTCCACAATGCCTGAGAAAGTGACCTTGGTTCTCCTCAGGTCATGGCCCAATGGTGGGATGCAAGTCTGCTTGTAGCGTATGGTTCTCATTCCACTGGTCCCAGATCCATTGATGGAAACTGTGGCTGAAACATTCTTCAAGAATGAGGCCATCGAGAGGCAAATATCAGCTCCTAGAGAAATGCCCAGAAGCCCAATGCCTGGACCCTTTACCTAGAAGAAAGAAGAATCAAGAGTCAAAAATGTTTAGCTGGACTAGGGATGTGGCTCATGGTAGAGTGCCTAGCACACACAAAACCCTGGGCTCTATCCCAAGCACCACACACTAAAAAAAAAAAAAAAAAAAAAAAAGAAACTGCTTTTCTAAAACGCAATTAGAGCTGGGCGTGGAGATGCACACCTGTGACCCCAGTACGCGTGAGGCTGAGGCAGGAGGATCACTGTAAGTTAGAGGCCAGCCTGGGCTACGTAGTTAGTTCAAGGTCAGCCTGAACTACATAGCAAGACCCTATCTCAAAAAAGAAATGCAATTAGAAATTAGTTCCAGATCCACGCCATGTTGGAACTTAGGACTCTCAGAAGCCAAGCAAGCACCTCCCCTCCCTGGTAAGTGGAGGCAGGCTGGCAGACAGCTCTTCCGGGGGAGAACCAGTAGTGTCTCCTGAGATCCACGCCATGTTGGAACTGAGGACGCTGTGAAAACAAATGACCATCCTGCCTCCCTGCTTAGCAATAGTGAACCTACTGCTACATGGCCTAGAGTCAAATATCCCACTTCCCCTATCCTCCTTCTCCCCCCCCCCCCGCCCCACCCATTAGCAAATGGGAACCAGAAATCTGAGCATCTCCTGGCAGGTTGACCATAGCAAATAAGGGGAACGTCCTACCATTTCTTCGAAGGCAAATATTTTTATTACTGTTTTGCTCTCTTCTAATTAAGGGTACTGCTCTATTCAATATTCTGTTTTGATAAGTTCTATAGTGTTCTATATTTCATCTCATTTTGATATACATGACTGAAAGAATAACTATTATAAAGATAACAAAATATACTGTGATACCTATTATTGTTATCCCGGTAACCTGCTGTGAAGTTCTGTACCAATTTCACTGTACGATCTTAGTTGGCTTTATTCTGACTCGTTCTGTTGTATACTTTCAAAATTAAAAAAAAAGTAAAAAAAAAAAAAAACAAACATTGGCCTAAACTGCAGGCAAATTAAAAAAAAAAAAAGAAAACAAAGAAAAAAGAAATTAGTTCCAATCTGTGAACTGTCTACATTGACTGACAGGGGCATTTCTTTCTAAATACTGATTATCTGGTTAAACACATAACAAACAAACAAACCATAAACTCACTAGTAAATTTAGGAAGTGGTTATCAATATGGATAAAAATGTGAGAACATGCTCTGGTATCACAATATTAAAGATTAAAACACAAGCATGCAAAGATGAGATGCTCAATTTGTACTGTGGAGGAATTTTAATATTACAAAATAAAATTTCAACTTCACATGGACGTTACAATTAATTCTACACCATGAATTCATTTAGCAGGAAAAATGAAAATAATAGGCATCTGAAGCCAAGTAGGTTTCTAAAAGACATCTCTGTGATGAAAGGACAGAGCAAAGTCAGTGCACTTGGTACAGGTTATACTCTCTGCAGAGATATTTCTAGAAAGACTGATTAAACAGAGCATAGGAGAACCTGGGGGTGATGAAGCATGTAGCGCATGGCTTCTTCAAAGTAGTCCACATGTAAGATGCTGTAATCCTTGGGGAGATCTTCAAAGTCATAAAAAGCTAGAGCCAGTGTGGCAAAGCCATGGCCAGACAGAAGGCTGGCTCGGTATTCCAACAGGCCCCCTCCAACACCGTTGATGTCAATGATCCCTGGGAAGGGTCCAGGTCCTGGAGAAAAAAACAGTATAAAGGGAAAGCATTGCACAATTTAAAGAATTTACTTTCCTTTTACATACCTTTACAATTTATTTAGGTCATGTGAATCAAAGGAAAGAGGACAGATCCCTGTGTCAGTATTGCAAAGAGACACAAGCTCTGTAGGAAGGGAAATATTCCAAACTAGAGTAACTTTGGTTATTAGACCCTCCATGTGATTCTAGGAGAAAGCTTTCTAGAGGTTCTAAGAATCATCAGTTATAAAGGACAGTAACAAAGCCTTTTGTTAATGAGAACATCATAGGAGGAATTTGCATTAATTTAGAGTTAGAGGATTCGACATAGAACTAAGAAGGTAAAAAAAGTAAATAAAATCTGGATGTTGTATCGACTCTGAAATTTTTAATGTATTGTTAATTTCAGATGTCCATGTAGTGAGAGAGAAAAAGAACTGCACAGAGTTAACATTCAGCGAGGACGGCAGCGAAGCCTGAAATAGAGGGACAAAAAATGAAGGGATATTATACAGATATTAATATAATTTAGGCATATTATCTTATAGAGGTGTTATAGAGATTAAGTGACAGTAGAGTTCAGAGCATAACATCAAAATCTTTTAGTTAGTGTAGGTGGCCACTGACAACCAATGGCAGCTTCCCAGGACAGCTCCAGAGCCAAACCAGCACCAGCAGCAGCACCAGACTCTGTGACCCAGAACACAGGATCATCATGCTCTAGCAGCGAGCTCACCTGCGGGCAGGAAGAGGGTGGCCCGCACGCGGCCCTCCCGCACAGGCACGCGCCGCACCCCGGGCGCCAGGAAGTGGCGCTCGTGCACCGCGCTGGCCAGCAGCTTGCCCTGGTCGGGCTCGTGTCCGTCCAGCACCTCCAGCTCCACCACGAAGGGCGTCTGTACGTCCCGCTTGAGCAGGCGCCAGAAAGGCCTGTCGGGCTGCATGGCCCAGAGCAGCCCCATGGGCTCCAGGCCCGCGAAGCTGCCGCCCAGCGCGGGTGCGCGCTGCAGGTCCAGCCGGCCGGCGGCGTCGGCGCGGTAGCGCGCGTGGGCCCGGAAGAGCGCGCCCTTCTCGTCGCGCAGGGCGGCGCGCAGCGTGACGGGCTGCTGGGGGGCGAGGCGGTGCACGGCGATGCGCAGCGGCTCGTCCCAGAGGCTGCGGCCTGCGGGCTCCAGGCTCAGCGCTGCCGGCATGTCGGACTTTGAGCAGCTAAGCCCGAGGCCCCTGTGAAGTAGTGGTGAGCGCTCCACGGAGTTCCGCGGGGTTCCAGGCTCTTGGCACCGGAACGCTAACGTGGCTGAACTGACACGGGGTATCTGGGAGCTTCAGTTCTGTGGACTCCGCACCTTGAGCGTCTGAGGCGATTGGAACCCGGCTTTTAGCCAGGGCGCTCTGAGGTTTGGCCTTGGGGCCGAACCTCGTGCAGCATGGCACGCAGTGGATTCACTGTCACCACTCCCCCTTGCGGGCGTGCAAGTTGTCAAAAGTGAATGAGGTCAAGCCAAAGTCCAGCTCCTCCATGGATTCAGCTTTCTACAAGAAACATTTTAACGAAGTTTAACTTTCTCTTGGATGATTTTTCAGCCACTGTGTGAGTACCAGATATCAAGTGAGTTGTAAATACCAGGAACGCATTTCTTATATTTAAAGAGGCTGGAGTGTGCAAATTGTAGGGGCCCACTTTCTGCGAGGATACCTTTCAACAACGAGAATTAAGTTTCCAACGTCAAAACTTCGAGGGACGTGTTCAAACCATAGGCAACTTACATACAAACGGCACAAATCTCTTATGTATGGTTCAGTGAACTTTCATAAGTCCAACATATTCTACATATGTATACATGCATATCAATGTACCACGCATGTGGGCCTAGAAGCAGCTCATTACCAACAGGTCAGACACTGCTCCAGGCCTGTCCCCTTTCCCCACATGTACTTGTATTAGGCACCTTCACATTATCACAACTAAACAGGGGTTTGTCTTAGAGAATGTTCATTTAGCTCATGGTTTTGGAGGTTCTGGACCAAAACTGGCAGTTGATTTCTTTAGGCTTGTGGTGAGGGTGCTAGATGGCAGTTGAAAGCCAGAAGGAAGACACTAGAATCTCACAGTTCCTTCAGAGACACACCTCCAGTGACCTAAGGACTTCTCAGTAGGCCTCACCTCTCAAAGGTCTCTCCATCTTCCAGCATCATCAAGCCTTTAACACAGTTGAGGACACTAACATAGTCAAACCGTGGCAGTCTATCGTGATGCCAACACTACAGATGAGTTTGTTTTTATACTTTATAGGGCTGGATCCTGCAATATGTTTCTATTATGCCTGACTTCACTCAATACAGTGAAAATAATCAATACTGATAGATGTAATTGTTCACTGTCATTGGTAAGTAGTATTTTATTTGTGACCATAAATAATTTTTCCATTGTATTGCTGATGGGTGTTTATGAGATTCTGGGTATGGATGATGAGAAAGACTACTATGAATATTCAAGAATATGTATTTTGATGGACTTAAAATATATAAATGATTATATATTTGTGTATTCTAGCTACCCTTTATCTGTCCCATTTTTTTTTTTTTTTGCATACTAAACATTTGTGCAAACACCATGAGTATTTTCCAAATATTTCAGGACGGGAGCCTGAGACTTTAAGGGTATTAAGTCTTTGATGATCACACTTCTAATAAGTAATGGGAATCCACTAACTTCAGATATAGAATTCCAGTAGAGAGCAGCAGGTGGTCATATACATTTGTATACATTTATATTTATATATAATTCATGTAAGTCATATGCATTTATATTTATATATAATTCAACAGTAACTAATGTCTCCTTGGACTGCAGAATTTACTATATTTGTGTTTATTCATGAAGAGGGACTTGCTGTGAACATTTCATATATATTTTTCATGCTTTATTTCCATCATTGCTATTAGTTTTGTTCAATTTATTTTTTGTAGTGAAATATTTTAATGCTGTTCTCATTATCTTGTGTGTATATTCTGTAACTGTAAGAGTCTTTATAGGGACCATGGAGATTACTGTTAACATCTTAAAGATTTAAAATTCTAATTTGAATCTGTACAAAATTGCTACTCCTTTATAGTTCTTTTTCCATCTCTTTTGGTTTTTGGTGTCATAGAACTACATATTTGCAAAAGATCTAACATAACATAAATCTTTTAAATGCATAAAGCAAAACATAAGTGTTGTAAATGCATTAGTTGCTAAAGTCACATAAAAGACAAAATGTGCATTTTCCCATCAGTTTACCTCTGTCCATATCTTTATTTCTTCAGATGACTTAGAGTTACTGTGTAGTATGCCTGTATTTCACTGCACAGGTCTCTTGGAGCATTTTCTACAGGGCACATCTAGGGGTAGTGAACTCCCTCCACTTTTGTTTATTTAGAAATAGCTTTAATTTCTCACTCACTTTCAAAGGCTAGTTTGCCATAGGTAAGATGTTCGGTTAACACTTATTTTTCTTCCACTGCTTTGACTGTATCTACCCACTACCTCCAGACCCCCTGAGTTTCTGATAAGAAATTTACTCAGAATATTCTCAATGACCTCTTTTTTTTTTTTTTTTTACTTTTTTTTTTTTATCTTATTATCGGTACTGGGGATCAAACTCATGACCGCCTGCTTGCAAGACAGGTGCTTATACCACGGAGCTAAATCCCCAGTCCCTTCTCAATGACCTCTTGTGTGTAATTGAAACTTTGAAAATTCTTCTATCTTTTGACAGTTGACTTATGATGTGTCTCAGAATGATTCTCTTTGAGTTCTTGTTACAGTGGACCCTTGACTCATGAATTAAATTCATTTGCAAGGGCTGTTTGTAAATCAAGTTTATTGTAAGTCAAGACTATTTTTCCGGTAAGAACTAATGGAAATACCTGTAATGCATTCCAAACCTCCCAAAGCACCCCTTAATTAAGGATTAATTAAGAAGAAAGGATTCTGTAATTTACCAGAAACACCAATGATTTTCCTAATGTATTCACCAAAATATTATAAAATGTAAGTAATTTACTAGAAATAATAGTATCATACTGTATTCACCATCCAAATAGACATCTTTGGGTTGCAGAAGGAAGGATGAAATGGAAAGGGGTTATTGTTTGAAAGGAGAGTCCCCTTCCTTAAGAACATTAGGAATCTGGCTCTCTGCTGTCCTTTTACTCCTTGGGAGAGTCTGTAGCCCCCTCAGACGTGCTTCTGGCTCACTAGGTCTCCATCTTTTTAGAACTAAAAATTGGTCTAAGATGATCTGTTTCTGTCTTTTCTGTAACACTGTTCTGTAGTTTGATATGACATGTCATTAAGCAAATGAATGCAATGATTCGCTTTTTCTCTGAGTGGGTGGGTCTCCTCTACAAATGCTTACAGCTCTGTTCATTCTTTTCAAGATTCCCTTTATTTCGGCAGAACTTTGCTGCACTGATTGTTGATATTCCCCTCCTCTTCAGAAATCTCCTCAACTGCCATTCTCTATTGCTCAGCCAAAAGTTACTAAAGTTCTTCTGTGGACAGTTCCTCTGAGTGTTCCTCCATCAGTTCCCAACATTACCACTGTCTCCCTGCAAGCCTATGGACTCTGCTCTAATGACAGTGTCATCAGCCACAGGGTCAGTCGAAGGCTCAGGTTCCTCTACACAGCCTTTGAAGTTTCTTTCTTGTATAATTTTAGGCCACACTTTCTTCTGGACAATTCTCAGTGTCTTTAGAGAGACATTGGCCCAGGATTTCTTAGTTAACCCTACCCAGGAAATGATGTTGTACTTCCAGAACTGATTAAGGATTAAATCTGTATCTGAGATGACTTGGAAGTACTTAAGTAACAGTTCCTTGATTTATAGCTTCTTAAAGTTAGCTTCAATCTGCTGGTCTTTCAGGAAATTATTATTCTCCAATAAAATAGCAGGCACTTTTTTTTTTTTATTGGGAGTGGAACTCATGACCTTGTGCTTGCCAGGCAAAGAAGCAGGCACTTTTAATGTTGCTTTCCCTCAGATCCAAAGCCTTCTTTGTTGTGTGTTGTGTGATAGTAAAACAAATGCTTTGAATGTTTTTTCCAGAGTCTTCACACCCAAAGTGATAAGGTGTGCATTTTATGTAGATCTTAAGACTTTCATTTAACTGTTATGTTTAAAAACTAAGTAGTTATTAAAAAGAAAATAATATATAAATGTGTGCCAATTATGGCAGATATTTCCAGCCAAAGTCAGCATCAGAGACGCCACAAATCAAAACAAATTAAAGTTTTCTGGGATGGTCCCCTCATCATCTAGGCATTTCAGTCTGGAGTTTTTTCCACATATCCAGCTGGGCATGAGCTCTACCTCCCCACCAAAGGCAGGAAAATACACCAAAGGTTACAGGGTTACCTTGGCAAAAGGGAAAGAATAAGGGGGCAAAATATTGTGCCCTGTCTTTGGGTAACCAATGATTTATGGCATTTTCTTCGTATGGTCATCCTAACCCTCAAGGAACAGGAAGATGGTATCAGTACTTTCCACAGGAATGAAGCTCTTCTGATCCTTCATAAGTGCTGTTCGGTGCTTCTACAATATCTTTGATGCCATCTTTGCTATCTTGACTCTATCTTCCTGGAGCTGCTGAAGAGTTTGATGTTCCATACCAAGGATTGGAACAAAAACAAGTTCAAAACCCAGCAGGGTAGATATTAAATCTTTTGTTGCATATCCAGCTTTTGAAACAATCTGTGGCATACTGTGAGCTCCAAAGGGCTTGTGTTATTCCATTCCCATGGTGTCTGTCTTGGGCTTGCTTCTGCTCAGTTCTTGCAGCTTATCTTAGGCGAGCCACACTCCTCTTTTCCAAATTTCTGTGTTTTCCATTGCTTGGCTTCACACTCACAGCTTCGCAAACTGCTCTCTCAGAGACACACTTCTAGGTCTCCTCAGGCCCACTGAAATTGGGGTGGAAGTCTTTTTAACCTCAGAACTTGTTCATGCTCCATGCACCTAAAACCTGCTCCATGTGGACGATGCCATGGTCTACTGGCAGCTGGAGCAGTCGCCAGGCTTTCCCCTTCTTGGCTCTACAAGTCAATGCCTGAATTGCTGAGCACTCTCAATCTTTTCATTAGGAACAGATTTTGTATGTGGGTTCCATTCTGGAACCTGGTGCAGCCATGGCCATTCTGGAATATGAAGCTCTGTAGCTTCCTCCTCCAAGCAAAGTCTTCCACTTTTGCAGTTTTGAGGCTGCAAAGGGTGGAGACTACTGCCTTCTCCTGTAATGCTCAAAGATCATCATTTTTATTTTTCTGTTCCTTCTCAGCATTGACATCTCAACTGTATCTTTATTGTTCACAGCTTTTTGGCCAAACTCACAATGTTTTAAATTGCACTGCTAGGCTCTGTTGATTAGCAACATAAATCTGGCTAAAGGACACCAACATTAGCCATGCCACCGCCTCAACATTTGACTGCCTTGAAATTTCTTCTGCCAGGTTATTTAGTCCATTGTCTTCCATCTTAGTCTCAGACAAAGTCTCTGGATACAAGCAAAATGCAGACAAGCTCTCTTCCAAGACATAACACATCATCTGGACTCCAACAACTAATGCAGTCCTTCTTCCCAGCAGAAACCTTTCACGCCTGGTCTTTACCAGCAGGATTTCTATCAGCCTTCTGATTTTCTGAGCTCTGACCAGAATCTCCCATTCGGAATGCCTAAGCTGTTCTCGGCTACACTTTGAGGCGACATCTCTAAATCTTTCCAAACTGCTCTCATGAGCATTCCCAAATGTTCCTGAAGCACATAGGTCACAGAAATGACCCTATTTCTCTGGCACCAAATTCTGCCTTGGTTACTTTTCTCTCTTTGTTGAGACAAAGGATCTGATGCCTAAAATTAAGGAAAAAAGGGGTTTTTTAGCTTACAGATTTTTAAGATTTTTAGTCCATAATCAGCTGGCTCTGAGGCAGAGTGGCATGGCACTTGGGCATTACTTCAAGGCAGCAGCCAGGGAATAAGGAAAGACTCTTTTCTTCCTTTATAGTGTACACAGACCTCCCCTAAAAAAAATCTCTGTGCCTTCCTCCTACACAGGATGGGATATTTACAAAGTAAAAATCCTGGCTCCCTGCTGAGTCTCTCAGTTAAACTTCTCAAGATGTATCAAGTTGTATAACAACTACCTAAACCAGAAAAGCAAAATGGAGTTAGTTCTTTCAAGATAGGGCATTAACTGAAGACTTCTAGGCTACTGCTCTAAAGGACTAAAAGACAATGCTTGTAAAAGCTGACAGCTAACAATCTATTGATTAGGATTTCCCTGCAAATCTTGAGCATGCTTTAATTTCTTTTAGCTTGGTACTTTCAGGTCTGGAGCGAAGGGGGGGAGTGGAAGACCACCACATCACCCTCCCCTAGACCCAAATATGCTTACTTGTGAGCAATGCAGACTGGATAGGGATGACTTTAAATTGACTTTCAGTTTGAATAGTGAGTCTATCCACAGCTGTACATGTGTTCTGGCAAGTGGATTACTAATGGGACTTTTTATGCAGGAGTTTTTATACCAAAAACTAACCAGGAGGGTTCTGGTAAAGATGGCATATAGATAACAGCAGGCTGCAGATGCTCCCTGAGATAGTCAACTTAGATTCCAAAAATAATACAGCATGGGGAGTCCCCAACAAAGGGAGATGGATCCCCCCCCCCCAGGAACAAACTAAGCTGAGAGAAACCAATTAAACATACAGTCCCGGTGCTGAGAGAAACCAATTAAACATACAGTCCCGGTGCTACGATTGGAACAGTTTAAGGCTCAGGGCTCCTGCTGCAGTGCTTGAACTCGCTCAGCCAAGACGTACTGAGCTAGCTGAAAGCCTGCCGCTTCCACTCACTGGAGATGCTCTTATACTGAGGTTGGGGGTCAGTGAACTAAATGGAGAGCTGAGCTGGCGGGGAGCCTGCATCGACCTGTGGTGAGTGATGGGAATAAAACCAATCCGCAGAAAAAGGGGCCCCAACAGATGACACTCTGGGGTCGGGCAGATTGGCAAGAACAAGGAGCAGCGGTGACTTCAGTCAGCTGGTCCCTTCTCAAGTGGGATTGGTGGGATGCGCTTGGGCTGGGTCATGGCCTGGCCTGAGACCCAATAGGTTAGCCCAAACCACGTCCCTATGCCTGGCAGCGCACCCTGATGCAGTGAAGCCCTCAACAGGTTGACTGACCCAGAAGGCGGGGCCCTACTGCTGCCCCTGTTTGTACCTCCATAGTACACTGCGGTGGGCAGGAGGAGTCAGTGCACTTCAGACGAACTGTAACCAACAAAGAAAGGTTTGGAACCACTTAGGTAAATAGCAGGTTGCCCCCCGCAATTTAAAACGGAGGGTGTTAGGGAGACCCAAAAATGCACAATACAACCTGGGGGAGGGAAAGGCAAAGAATAGTCTTTAAAAAAAGACAGCAGAAGATATTGCTAATAGTATATCAGGAATTAAAACCCATATTACTCGCACCACTCTGCTTAGATAGAACTTATTCCATCCTAGTTTGTATACAAGCACTAGATCTGAGGGTACAGACAGCTATCCCCAAAATATCAGGATACAACACAGTAATCATCTTGAGTTTCCTATTAACTTAATCTGGATCCCTATATAACTTATACTGTTATATCATGACTGATCTTAGTTAAATCTGATTTGTTTGGTTGCTGTTTGTTATTGACAGATTTCATTTAAAACTGTTAAGGTTGATAGTATCAAGTCTGAGAGTATAGACAAGTAATACTGAAAATGACAATGATTCACTACGATACCCATTCTGGTTTGATTACTACCTGTTTTTGTAGTTCTACACTATCCACAAAGTTGTATTTCTTTTAATACTGTTATGTACTGATATATTCAATTATACTATATCTGATGATATAGCCAATTCTATTGAAGATAACAAGAGACAACAGTAACCATGGTAGAACTCCTTGACAGCAGTTTTATATGTCTTTTTAGTTTTATGTATCTATAGGAATATGTTTTCTTCTGTCCTGCTTTGTTCTGTTTCTTCCTCTAATATAGAAAGGATAGAAATACATGTTAAGACTCATGCTTGCATAAAACCTATGAACAGTTTACAAGAACCGATCATGACACATGATGAAATGAACAAACACTTTGAAGGAAAAAAGGCACTACAGGACCCAAAGCTGATTCCGGAGTGTCATGCTGTGAAATCCAGCAATACTATTATTCTTTGTTCAGAGTGATTTTAGTCACCTTTGGTTTGTTTAATCTCAACATTAATGAAGATATGGATAAATGTGTATGTTTTAGTGTATAGGATTGATAACCATATTACTAAATTTTTATTAGATAGTTGAACAGAACTATTTGCAGTCTTGCTATTTGAATTCCCATCTATATGTTCCACTTTTGTATCTTGAACAATTATTTGTAAGAGGACAATATGTAAACATCAACTAGTGATTTATTACTGTTTTTTTCTTTGAAAATATGTATTATTTCTACCTGTTTTCTGTTTTGTTTTGTCTCTCTTTAAATAACATTAAAAAAAAAAACTAAGCAGGAATCAGACCAGTCTGAGTGAAATGAAGGTCAGTCTATAGGGCTAAAACAAGCTTATATAGACCAGTAATGGGACAGTGAAGAGTTGAATTGAGACACATAGCAAACATATGACTGCAGATGCCTCTTAGCCACTGTCCCACTCAAGTGGATCAGTAAAAGTGAAGAGAAAATCATTTTCCAGATCAGGTGGGGCAGAAGTTGTCATAGTGGTCTTCTCTCACCTTGCCTATTAGTTTGCTTGTTACATGCCTGGAACTAATTGTCCACCTGGTTCTTGCTAACACTTGACCATGGGAGTGGCATATTGGAGTCCTGTAACCTCTCTCTAGGTGTCGTTTCTCAAGTCCTTGTTGTCCTGAATAATGAATTGGATAGGAAATGAAGTAGTGAGGCTTTGCGATCATTAAAGCTGAGAAAAGAAGGGAGAAAGAGTGCTGTGAAAGATGTGTTCTGCAGAGTGATTGTGGGCCAATTAAAGTAGGGAATACACTGTGCATCCAGAGCAGACCACTGCAAAAGAAAAAAGGCAGTGGCCATGAGACCAATGGCTGATGTCTATACCCCCATGTGATATGAGAACTAGGTTGTCCTATAAAAAATCTGCTTGAGTTTGTATCAGAAGCATTGAAGATAGCATTTCCGATTGTATCAGATGGCATGGTTTTGTGAATGTCTTGGATCTCCATGATTGACATTCTGCCATGCCATAATCTGCCATAACCTCAGGCTCTATTTCTTTGGCCATCTTCACTCTCCCTTGAGCCCACTGCCTGTGTTACTGGGTGGTTCCTTTACAAATGCCTCACCAATTAAATGTCTTTCAGGTCTTTCTTGGCTCTAACAAATAAGTGAATGAGGCAAGCCAAAAACATTGACAAAAGTTTATTTGAAAAGTGTGGGATGAAGGGATAAAGGAGAAGCTGGCTCTGCAGTACAAACTTGGGTCAAATAGAAGAGGAAAAGAGAAAATGAGCAAAAATAAAGGTACATCCAGTTTCCAAAAGACTCAAGTAGGCTACTGTAAAGAGTCACAGTAGCAGGCTCATCGTGGCATCTGCATTCTTATGGCATCCACATCTCATGAAGTCTACAAAAAGTTCTACATAGAAAGCCATGGAGTTAGGTTAGGTTGAGCTGGGATCTTATAATTAACAGGTTCTGCTTAATTCCCAAGCCAGCTTTGCTATCCTGTAAACTTTTGCACCTCTGAAGATGCCTGCTATCTTCTACCTAACTTTCTTATTATTAACAATTAAAAGAAATTTCCTTTCCTTG